CCCTCCCCTCCCTGGACACCCCCTCCCTTCCCGGGACCCTTCCTCCCCAGACCCCTCCTGCCCTCCTCTCCCCTTCCCGGACGCCCCTCCTCCCCGGACGCCCCCTCCCCTCCCCTCCCCGCGGGCGCGCTCTCGGCCGCGCGGGCGCTGTCCACCGCGCGGTGCTGAAGCGGCCCCGCGGTCCCGGCCCGCGCGCTCCCTCTCTTGCTCCTTCCCCGAGTCTCCGGCCTCTCGCGTCGCCCTTCCCTCCCTCGTCCGCGGTCTCTCCTCCTTCTCCCGGCGCGCCCCCGCCTGAGGGCCGCTTGGCAGAAAGGGGTGCGGCGGCTGCAGGAGCCCTGGGGAAGCTCCAGCTGCGCCCCGGGCCTCTCTGCGGCGGGCCCTGCGGTTCCCTCCCACCAGGAGCCAGGGGAGAAGTTTGGAAGAAATCTGCTTTGCGACAAAGGCGCCCGTGCGCGCCAGCGCCTTTTGGGGGGGTGGGGTACGGCATTCCCTGCCTGCCACCCCTTCCCCAGCCCGCACACACTCGGGTCTCCTGCGTCTGCGGAGGAAAAATTCATAAAGCACTGGATCTCTAAGAACCTGGTTTCCCTGCCAGAGGAGACCTCACGAGGGGGAGCACTGCAGCTGCTGTTTTTACAGGAAGCATCTCCCCACCGGAGTTCCAGCTGGCCTGGGGAGCCCCACCCATGCAGATGCAAATGGAGGGGTGGTCTGTCCCCCTTTTCCATTTGCTCCCTGAAGGCCGGGCCCCCTGCCCTCTCTCCTTCCCACCCCAGTCTCTGCTGTGGGCAGGGGGTAGCGGGCGCTGGGACCTCCTGTGGAGAGAGCTTGGTCTCTCGAGACTACCCCATCAGTAGCCGAAGGGACCTCCCTGAAGGGGCACTGGCTCAGGGCCCATCCACCGTAACTCTCCTGTCCCTTGGATGGACCGCCCCCTCTGGCCTAGGGCCCATCAAAGAGGCAGCAGATCCGGTCACCTTCAAACGCCCCCTGGGCCTGGCCCTGCTTCACACAGGCTGCACCCCCCCCAAGTTGCGAGCACCCCCATCCCTGCAGTAGCAGCCAAAAGCTGGCTTCAGAAACCCCAGGGGCTGGGTGAGACAACTTTGCAGGTCCAGCTGGGGTCCTGGGATCTGCCCACCCTGGTCAGAGTATAGTGTGGAAGCACCCCTGCACGGAGACCCTCCCAGTGCTGGGGTCCAGCCACAAGGTGTGGGGGACGACGAATGATGCTCTCTCAGACCCCCGACCCATGCTGAGGGGAAGTCGGGCGGGGACGAGCAAGGAGCCCTGCCCAGGGTCAGGGTGACCTGTGAGCACTTCTTTCCTCCAGGCAGAAGACTCCTGGCCACACTCGCATGTGAATTCCGACCCTCGCAAGAACTGCTGAGGAGACAAAGCCGTCGTCATGGAGTTTGTGATGAAGCAGGCCCTGGGAGGTAGGAAGTAGGCGGTGTGGGGCACGTTGCTCCCACCTGGTCGCGGGCCCGCACACTGCAGCGGCATGCGGACGTGGCACGTGGTCACCCTCAGACTTCACACACGCCTGCTCACATCACATCCCCGCAGACACACCTGCTCGCCCCTCTGGGCAGAGCAGGGCCTGGCCAGCCTTGGGGGTGGGGGAGGATGTGCGCTGAGCACTGTGGTCAGGGTGGAGCCCTGCAGACGGTGCTGAGGCAGGGGTCAAAGGCCGAGCAGCAGCACCCCCACTCGGCCCACGAAGACACCCCAGGGTGGCTTTCAGGGGCACCAAGGGCCAATCCTAACGGGCAGGTCCGGCGGCCCCCACTGGGGCTTTGCTTTAGTGAGCAGAGCTATGGGAGGCTGCAGGGTGGCTGCAGCAGCTGGAGTGGGGTTGTGGGGCCAGAGCTGGACCTGTGGTGTCCAGTCAGGACCCTGTGGGTTTCACCCAGGGTCGGCGCATGCACAGGGACAAGAGAAGAGGCTTGCGTGACACCGGCCCTTTCCACGGAGGAAGTGCGGCCTCTTGTGTGTGTGTTCGGGAAGGGGACCCCCCTTCCAACCCTGCTGACTCCTGTTTGAAGGGAATCCTGTGCCTACTTGGCTCAAGGCTGTCGTTGTGGCCAGAGAGCCTGGCCCAGGAGAGGAAGGGAGTGTAGCACAGTGGGCCGAGGCTCTGGCCCAGGAGGTGGGTGGGGCAGTGGGCCGAGGTCCACACTGGCACGAATGTGTCCTGGCAGAGCAGTCTGGTCAGCCAGGCCCATGGGGCCTATCCTGTGTACCCTGGCTCCCCTGGTGCAGCACCACCTCCCTGGGACGAGAGCCTGCAGCCAGCGCCTGACTGCCATTTGAGGTGTCTTCCTTGGGTGGCCCCCATGGGCCACACCCTGCCTGGGACCGTTCGCAGACTGGCGAGTCTGGTGATGCATGATGAGGCCACCCTCTTGGTGCTGCTGGATGGCAGGAGGACTTGGGGGCTTTTGCTATAGGTGGGGAGTCTGTGGGGCCGTTGTGCCAGAAACGAGGGGCAGGATAGAGGGGCCAGGCCACCACCCCTAGGACAGGAGCCCCATGTGTCAGGACAGGAGAAGGGCTACGTCTCCGCTCAACACAAATTAAATGAAAAGACATGGGCCCAGGGCCACGTTCCCTGAGATTCGTGGTCAAGGAGAGGCTGCGGGTCGAGTCTAATTATAATGATTACATCACCGGGACATGATTCAGGGACAAGGCAGCATCCTGGCATTGGGAGGGATCCATGTTCCACCCAGCCAGTCCCAGGCTGTTACAGATAATTAATTAGGTGGCTAATTCAGGCCCTGAGGTGGGCTTGTAAGAAAACTGGAATATCTGATTTGGCTGTCTACATGGCTGAAATTAGCTGGGTAATTGCCAGCCTGGATTCCCTTTGTTCCATGTCAGCCCAAAGTTTCTCCTGCAGCGGCAACGGGGCGGGCTTCTTGGAGCGATGTGGGAGCTGCATGGGGGCTGCCTGCGGAGGCCCCTTGGAGCACCCTTTCTGCGCGGCCGCTCGCCGGGCGCCCCAGGCCGGGCATGGGCCCCCGACATTCACCATCCCAGTGCTGCAGGGGTGGGGCTGCACGTGACCTCCCAGTGACACCTTGTTTTCTGTTCCTGTACTTTGTCACTTTTTCCTCCCCTCCCAGTGGGCATCATTTTGATCTCTCTGGATGTGTGTGGGTGAGAGGGAGACAGACAGAGGGACAGAGACAGACAGAGACCAGGAGAAGTCTTCCAAGAGAGACAGACCAGAGCCCCAGACACAGAGGAACGGCCAGGACGGACCCGGGAAACCATCCAGAGAGGCCAGCCCAGAGAAACGGGGACCAGGGCTGGAGTTGGAGAGAAGATACAGCCCAGAAACAGAGCCAAGAAAGGACAGAAATGGAAATGCCCCAGGACGCACGAGACATACAGCTATGTGGGAAACAGGGCCCGAGGGAGAGAGACGCAGGAGAGAGACAACGGGTGCGAGGCTGTCTGGAGTCAGGCAGAGACAGCGACTTGGGGAGACAGAGGCTGGGAAGAGAACATCATGGAAAAGACAGGGTGACTGAAACGGAGACTGAGGAACCCAAGGGAATGTGGGACAAGAGGTGTAAGTGCAGGGTACGTGTACGGAGAGAGATGGAGAGAGACAAAGAGAGAGACACAGAGTGACAGAGATAGACAGAGAGGCCCAGAGAGAGAGAGACAGAGAGATAGAGAGAGGGCGACAGACAAAGAGAGAGGGAGAGGGAGACAGTGAGACAGAGAGGAGAGACAAAGAGAGAGACACAGAGTGACAGAGATAGACAGAGAGGCCCAGAGAGAGAGAGACAGAGAGATAGAGAGAGGGCGACAGACAAAGAGAGAGGGAGAGGGAGACAGTGAGACAGAGAGAGAGACAGAGTGACACAGAGAGACAGTGAGAGACAGAGACCCAGAGAAACAGAGACAGAGAGAGATAGAGACAAAGAGACACAGAGAGAGACGACAGAGAGATAGAGAGTAGAGAGAAAGAGACACAGAGAGTGATGGGGCAGGGGAGAGATAGAGAGAGGGACAGAGGCAGAGAGAGACAGAGATATGTCAGAAGCAAACAGAAATAGCGTCCAGACCAGAAACACAGAGTGTCCATCCCTGCACACACTCACGCACACATGTGCACACTCAGAGAAAGACAGCAGAAAGGAGGGAAGAGACGGGGCCTGGAGGGAGCCCGGGGCAGCCTTGCACAGCTGCACTGGGGCAGGACTCGATGCCACCTAATAAATTGTGGCCATTGGAGGCTGTCCCCACCTCGCTGGGCTGAGTGGCCAGTCCGCCAAGGACAGACTTCACAGCACCTTCTCCTCGGCCCTGACCCTGTGCCTCAAGCAAGGCCTTTGTGGGGACAGAGGCTGCAAGGTGACTGCCTGGTGGGGATGGCAGTTGCAGGACTCAGGACTCCCACATCAGATGACAGACAGACAGACAGACGGGACACCCACAGGCCCCCCAAGCACATGGCTGTTTCTGCAGGGCCTTGTCCACTCTGGGGTTCAGGGCACCCTGGACTGGGGAGGGACCCAGTCCCAGATCTGCTGGGCTAAGGACGAGGCGTGTGCCCTCGGTCTGGTCTGTGGTGACTCTGTACCCCGGTCCCGCCCGTCTAGGCCTTCACGCAAGCCACAGCCTCGGGGCCCTTAAGCTCTGAGGATTTCGCTGGAGGGTCGACCAGGCTTGTCCGTGGTGCTCAGGCCTCTCCTTCCCTCCCTCAGTCTGGTCACTGCTCCGCCAGCAGCCTCTGCCCCTCCCCACATCGCACTTGCCGGCATGTTCTGGGCACCTCCCACGTGGCCAGGCTGGGCCTCAGGTGAGACCTCTAGAGGAGGCAGACGAGGACAGAGCGATGGCCCGAGATTTGGAGGAGCCAGCTAAGAAGCTGAGATGCAGTGAGGTCGACCCACTGTGACATCCAAGGCCCCAGGCCCTCCCTGTAATCTCCCGTAGACACCCACCTCTGTCCAGGCTCTGGCTGTGCCGCTGCAGCCACCTCAGAGCCCTCTCCTCCACCGGCCTGTCTGCTTGGACGCTAAGCCCACCTCACTGGGGACCACAAGGTCATCTGGGAGCAGAGCAGAGACCTGGGGGGCACGTGTTGCAGGGGGGACAGGAAGGGGAGGGAGGTGACAAGGAGTCGCCTTGGCGACTATGAGGGAGGACGAGACAGCAGACTGGGAGGGGCCAGAGGGGGCTGTCCTCATCACCATGGGTAGTGGCGGCAGGACTCAGGTGCTGCACATCCGTGTCCGGCCTCGTCGCGTCCCAGCAAGGTCAGCAGCACTGACCGTCGACCTCACTCAGACTCCTGGTGCCGAGCCATTTTTCTGAGGGCAGGTGGCAGCCGTGGACCACAGAAGGAGGGACAGGGCTTCTCCCCTAAGATGGCAGGACAGGCCCAGACACCCAGCCTCTGGGCCCCCGGGGTGGACATGGTGGGGCTTTGCCTGGCGGCTGACTCTCTCGAGGTGCAGCCTGAGAGGGACAGGGCGGAGCGCACGGGGCGTCTGCTCTCAGGGCTGGAGTTCTCCACGGGCTGAGTGGGGGCACCTTCGTCTCCTTCAGACTCAGAAGACATGACCCCCAGGACACAGCTGGGTTCTGCCCCGAGGCCAGGGAGCCAAGGGCACCAGGGGCACCCAGGGCTGGCTAGAGGAGAACTCTTCTGGGGCCGGATCGTCAAGGAAGCTGTCCAGCTGTGGGCAAGCTTGTCTTGACCCGGAGGAGGTCCTGGGGCCTTTACAGGTTTGGGCCCCCCCAGGTCCATCGAGACACCTCAGATTTAAATCAGCTGATGGTCAGTCCCTGAAGGAAGAAAACACGGATGCGAAGTCTGTGTGGCAGCAGCTCGCGTGGGCCCTGGGAGCTTGTCTGCGGCAAAGTGGCCTTGAACTGAGGCCAGATGCTTGGGCCGCGTCGCCTGGGGACGGATCTTGGGCTCAGGGTCCTCAAGGGTGTAACTTGAAGAAACTGTTTTCCCCCGAGGCCAGGAAGTGGCAAATGGCCCTGGAGCTATATTTACACCGTGGACGAGAGTGTGGGCGGTCGTCAGGTTAATGTGGCTGGTATAGACACTCAGGCTAAATCAGGCGCAGGTGGCTATTTTGGCCCAAACAACCCTGTTCGTGGCTGGCTGTCCCATCGTTCCACCTCAGTGTGACGGGTTCTGTGTCTGGAACATGCTCAGGTCTTCAGAGACGGTGCGGGGGCCGGGGAGGGCTTCACGGAGGAGGGGACATCTGAGGTGGGCTCCAAGGACCAACAGACGAGACTGGGACACAGCACATGCCAGGGCCCGGGCTATGGGGGCAGGGCTGGGCTGGGCTGGAAGGGGACTCGGGGGAGAACGTTACAGGACCCGGTAACCAAGCCCGAGGGTGGTCTCCTCAGCAAGCTCCGTTCTGCCCTGGCACGTCCAGCGGCTCTCGGC